GATCAAATTAAACAAGATGTTAAAATAAAAATAAACTTAAAATTTTCTAATTGGGATCTAAATAAATAATAAGAAAAATAGAGGGCTAGAGAAACAATGTTTAGTTGAGAAGAAGACTTAATTAATGCAATCTTTGCAAATTTATTCAGTTTCTCTATTGATAAAACTAATGGCTTGTCTAAAGGATATCTAAGGTCTATTCCATCTCAAAATTCTATGAAATATTTAATGTTTATTATTTTTCTTAAAGTCCTGTATTTTGCAATCAGTTCTACCTTTTTGGATTACCAATTTCTTAAAATTGGAGAAGGAAATGGCAACCCACTCCAGTATTCTTGCCTGGAGAATCCCATGAACAGAGGAGGCCTGGGGGGCTACAGTCCATGGGGTCACCAAGAGTCAGACACAACTAAGCGACTCACACACACACACACACACACATTTTCATTATTATTATATTTGATGATCTGTTATTTTGGAGGTTACTACTGTAATTGTTTTAGAGCCCCAGAACCATGCCCATATAATGATGGTGAACTTAATAAATGTATGTGTTCTGACTGCTCCACTAACTAGCCGTTCCCCCATCTCTCTCCCTCTTCGCAGGCCTCCCTATTCCCTGAGACACAACAATATTGAAACCAGGTCAGTTAATAACCTACAATGCCTCTTAAGTTTTCAAGGCAAAACTGCACATGTCTCTCACTTTAAGTCAAAAGCTAGAAATGATTACGCTTTACTAGCGAGGAAGGCATGTTGAAAACTGAGATGGGCTAGGCCTCTTGTGCCAAGCAGCCAAGTTGTAAATGCAAAGAAAAAGTTATTGAAGTAAATTAAAAGTGTTACTCCATCGAACACATGAATGACAAGCAAGCCAAACAAGCCTTATTGCTCATATGGAGAAAGTGTTAGTGGTCTGGATAGATGATCAAACCAGCTACAACAATTCTTTCAGCCAAAGCCTAATTCAGAGTAAGGCCCCAACTCTCTTCAATTCTGTGAAGACTAAGAGAGGCGAGGAAGTTTAAAAAGAAAAGTCTGAAGCATGCAGAGGTTGGTTCATAAGGTTTAAGGAAAGAAGTCATCTCCATAACATAAAATACAAGGTGAAGCAGCAAGTGCTGATATAGAAGCTGCAGCAAGTTATCGAGAAGATCTAGCTAAGATCATTAATGAAGGTGGCTACACTAAACAATGGGCTTCCCTGGTGGCTTAGATGGCAAAGAATCTGTCTGCAATGCAGGAGACCTGGGTTCAATCCCTGGAGAGCCCCTGAAGAAGGGAATGGCAAACACACTCCAGTATTCTTGCCTGTAGAATTCCATGGACAGAGGAGCCTGGTGTGCTCCAGTCCACAGAGTCACAAAGAGTCAGAGGCAACTGAACAACTAACACTTTCACACTAAACAACAGATTTTCCATGGAGATGAAACAGCCTTCTCTTGGAAGATGATGCCATTCATAGCTAGAGAGGAGAAGCCAATGCCTAGCTTCAAAGCTTCAAAGGACAGGCTGACTCTTGGTAGAGGTTACTGCAGCTGATGACTTTAAATTGAAGTCAATGTTCATTGACCAAAATCCTAGTGTCTTTAAGAAAGATGCTAAATCTACTCTGCCTGTGCTGTATAAATGGAACAACAAAGCCTGAACGACAGCACATCTGTTTACAACACGGTTTTATAGAGTATCTTAAGCCTATTGTTAAGAACTTCTGCTCAAGAAGAAAAGATACTTTTCACAATATTGGCATTGCTCACTGACAATGCACTTGGTCACCCAAGAGCTCTGATGGAGGTGTGCAATGAATTTAATGTTATTTTCACGCCTGCTAATGTTGTGGATAAAGGACTAATTTCCACTTTCAAGTTTTCTTATTTAAGAAATATATTTTATAAAGCTATAGTTGCCACAGATAGCAATTCCTCTGATGAATCTGGGCAAAATCAATTGAAAACCTTCTAAAAAAGATTCACTATTCTAGATGCCATTAAGAATATATGTCCCAGCAATACCACTTCTAGGCATACACACTGAGGAAACCAGATCCGAAAGAGACACGTGCACCCCAATGTTCATCGCAGCACTGTTTATAATAGCCAGGTCATGGAAGCAACCTAGATGCCCATCAGCAGACGAATGGATGAGGAAGCTGTGGTACATATACACCATGGAATATTACTCAGCCAT